GTTCAAGCTGTAGTAGCAGCACAAACATGGCTTAACGCGTGGCCTAAACAAAATTACAGTACTGCAGACACAATCCCCAAGCTCTGGGAAAGGCAGAGGCACAGCAGGAACCAGGGTGCTGCTGGCACCCCACAAAATCGTCTTTATATGACTTCACATTCTTGTGAGGGAAGTTGGATGGGAACACTGTAAAAAAACAGTGGTGACATGTTTGGTGACACACGTCAGTGTGCACCACCCAAGCGACAGTTCCCTGAAGTGCCGGTGGTTACTGTTTGGTATTTGGACAGAAGCAACCTCAAATACAATGAAGACACAAGACTATTGACTGTCAGTGTTTCTGTTGTGTCATCGGGGAGACAAGAAGTCTATGTAATTAACATCGGATGCAGATTTTTTACTTTCTGTAACATAAGAATGTTTATTTGCAATGTTGTAAGACTCGCCCAGCTTATGCGCAGCGTGTTACCTGAAGATGGAATTCCTGAGAGTGGTTGTTTGCATGTAGATGTGACTATGGGTATGATTTATGTACCTGATGAATTCTTTACCAGAAAAGCACACAGGTCCAGTACTGCTACAATAAATATGCAAATACATAATGTGATCTGGTCTTCATTACCATCAGATGTCAGTGCAGTGCAGAGTCCAGTAATTTATTATGAATTGATAATTCATAGTAATAATTCCTTCCCACTGATGAAGGAAATTCTGCCTAAGGACTTGTTCACAGAGTTAACATTCAGCTTAATCTGATCCCACGTAACAGAAGTTACTTCAACTATCATTTACAGCAAGAGACGATCAATCACTGAAACTTGTGTGATGTTTTAGGAGAAACTGAATCTTGTGAACAACAAAATATGATCTGCAACGACAACAAAGTCATTGACAAAGCCAATGACGACAAAGTCATAGAGCACCAGATGAGGCCTTTGGTTCAAGTCCATAGAGCTAGCAGGGCTAGGAAGGGGTATTTGTGAAACTCTGCGGTACAAAACTGTACTCCAGATTGAATGAGTAACACCAAGATGTATTGCCTGGGCATAACAGACCTCTCCCACTTTATTTTCACCTGGTTTAGCTGCGATGGCAATTGTTCATCTGACCAGGTGGCTGTGCCTTATTTGTTTTACTTTTGCTTATCTCTGTGTGGTACAGCACTAGCGTTGTACAGACAGTCGTAACAAGCAGTTATTCTGTGCAGAACAATATATTTGTGTTTCTAACATAAAGATGTAGTACAAAGAAGTACAGGCCCAGTACAACAACACAGGACTTGAGAAGAGAGGATACAGGACACTGTGAAGCGGATACAGGCAGGGGATGATAAGGGATGGGATGCAGGCTGGAACTGGAGACCCAGCAGCTGTAACAGCTCACCCACCATCACTTAAAGAAATGCACACCAGGAGCTGGAT